ATACTTTGTCTATATATTTGTACCAGTTTATTTTTATGACTTATTTAAATATAAAAGCACACTAATAGGTTCAGGGCACACTAATAGGGACAGTTACCCTATTCGAAAATTCACAGTGGAAACTTTCAGTTCTCCAACTAGCCGAAAGTGCCTTTATAAAAACCGAAAACCGGAAATTGTTTCCAGTACCGCACGTACTGCGCACTTACCGCAACTGCTAGATCGAGCGAAGATAACGCAAGAGGTGCGATAATATCTGTGGACGTCGTTGATTAGTCGGAAATAATTGTTAATTCCTATTCCCTCCGTCAGCGGTTTGGTGTCCAACATGAGAAAAAACATCGCTATTGTATACTTCATTTTGCGAGGATTGAAAACAAGTACTGAGTGAACTATGAGTACAATTAAAACGTTTACTGAGTAAAGAAATAAAAATAACTTTGTCCAATTGGGCACTGTTACGATAAAACAATTAACGTTTAATTTGGAGCGAGGAATTATGAGAGATGCACAACAAAATCGGTATCCAAATTTCGAAGTACTAAAAACAATAATGAATCGCGGAATTCGTGGAAAGACTATCGCTGCTCCAAGGATTAAAGAAAGGAATGAGAGTACCCGCGATTCAAGAATGCAAATGCGTGACTGAAGGGCGATCATTGCAAACGGGGGATTTATCGGATCCGAGAATCTACGGGGTGGGCGAAAGAATGTCACCGGGTGATGTGGATACGGCATTATTACAAATTACATAGAGATACGCAAGGACACGATTTTTATCAGTAAATCATTGACAAAATTAATAAATTATTCACCGTTGTTAAGACTACTTATTCGCGTATCGCTCATAATGCTGCTATATTATGTATGTACATATATATGTATATAGCATTCAGGTGTTTTAGTTTTCACAGATTGATGCATAAAGATCCCCAAGTAGAAAAATTTCTGGGAAAAACTGGTCATTGGCCAGAAACTGGTCAGTTTTTACTATTTTTAGTTTATTGGACAGTTACTATCCAGTAAGTGGCCAGAATTCTTAGGAAAATTGATAAATGACCTAAAAATTGTGCTAAAAACAGATCTGAAAATAATTTTGTATTGAATCACCAAAATAATTTGTTGGAATGTTAAAACTGATAGATATTGCTATCAAACGTTTTGATATTCTAGCAATATGAAATTCATTTAGAGATACCACTGACATTGAAGAGTCTGTTTTATCGACCTCGTGCAAATTTTTTCGACCTTCCAGTATCGCCTTAAACTTGTGTAGGAGTTTCGATAGAATTATCTCTAAGTTGTCTATCCTCTCGGTGCTGATGTTCGACAGTTTGCAAGATATCATTACTACGCTTTTCTTCAGAGCGCTTAGCGTCATATAATCAACCTTTCTTCCTTCCTTAAACACCTAAACCTGCAGTAGCAGATAACTGATTATACAAAAAGCACAGATATTCTGAAGTAATCATATATTAATTAATTAGAAGAAGAATATAATTTCATGGAAATGAAGGATTGACCAGTTATGTCGTTTAAATTAATTTCGCTCAACATTCTTTTTGCTGTCACGCATAAAAATGCGGATAGTCGATCGTATTTGCACAAAGGTCTCAATCAGATCTATCAGGAATCTGTGTGCTTATCCTTTATTAAATTCATTAGTTTAACCGAGAAAGACTTTGTCGACGCCTCGTATTTCGCCTGAAATTGACGCGAAAAATAGAATTCAATGTCAAATTTAATTCTAAATTTTATTGAAATTTAATCTTTCATTTCCTTAAAAAAAACAGTTATGCGACAGTTTACGAATATCTTATAACCAAATGTTTAAAATTGATTTGGAAGTTATTATAAAATTTATATTAATACCTATAAGCGCCTGCTGTCAGAAGATACTTCGAATTTTATTGAAATTTTCAGAGATCATATTCATGACGCTTCGTGATTCGCGATATATCATGAAGAAGGA